TATATATATATATATATATATATATATATATATATATATATATACATACATACAGACCCTTTCCAAAAAAGTCGAATATCATGGAAAAGTTGTTTAACTTCCATAATTCCATTTAAAAAGTTAATTTTTAATAGATGATAGATTCAGGGCCCAAAATTTAATCCATTTCAAGTATGTATTTGTTTATTTTTACATAATTTAGGTTTCCAGCTCATGAAACCCACGAAAACAGGATTTGAAAAAATTAGAATACTGTGGAGAAATCAGCCCAAATTTTGCAGGGCATGAATGGTTTAAACTTACTGTGACACACTAATCATCTACTAAACACAAAGCACCTGCACAGGTTTCCCCAGTCGTCATTAAATTGCTTCAGTTCTGTTCAATATAGGGAAGACTGCAGACATAACTGGCCAGATGACCATCATTGAGACCCTCCATAGGATGGGTACACTACAAAAGTTCATAGCTAAGGAGGCTGGCTGGTCACAGAGCGCTGTGTCCAAGCATATCAATGGAAAGTCTAGTGGAAGGGCAAAATGTGGCAGGAGAAGATATACCAGCAAAAGAGATGACTGTGGGCTTCAACGGATCATAAAACGGAGAAGATTCCAGAATCTGTCAGAGATCCAGAAAGAGTGGCGGGAGTCACAGCTTCAAAAACCACCACATTCAGACGCATCTGGGAGATGGGCTACAACTGTTGGGTTCCTCTGTCCTCTTTTCTGATGAAAGTAAAGTGTGCCTTTCGTTTGGAAATCAAGGTCCAAGGGTTTGGAGGAAGAAAGGTGAGGAACAGAACCCATATTGCTTGAGGTCCAGTGTGAAATATCCACAGTCAGTCATGATTTGGAGTGCAATGTCCTGTGCAGGTGTTGGTAAACTCTGTTTTCTTAAATACAAGGTCACAGCAACAGTCTACCAGAATGTTTTAGAGGACTTCATGATTCTTTCTGCTGAGGATCTGTATGGAGATGAAGATTTCATCTTCCAGCAGGACCTGGCCCCTGCCCATGCCGCCAGAAGCACCAAAACCTGGTTTGATGCCACAGTGCTCAACTGGCCAGCCAACTCGCCGGACGTAAACCCCATTGAGACTCTATTGCCCCTTTTCCATTAGTACCGGTACGGGCAGGTACAGCCCGGCTCTACTCTACTCGGTACGGTACAGGTTGTGTTTCCATTATGCTTTCAGTACCGGTTCCAGTGGGCGGGGTTCAAATTGACGTCACGGCCTCTCACCAGCTGGTGGCGCTGAGACGTAGAAACTGTTTTCAGTACAGGTTGAGAATTTATGTTATTTTGAAGTTGTGTGTATGCATGTATACATG